TTGCAGAGGGCTTCCTAGATTAGAATTCATGGAGCATTTACAACCCAAGGAAAGAAGGTATCCGTTCTCAACGGGACCAATGTAGACTTCAGTTTCCTTCAGTGTAGGACTTCCTCTAACACACATGTCAAATTCAACAGCCTACCTTGCCTGAACCATCAAAGGAGGTCCTCCCTCAGACCCAAGAAGTGAAAGTTGACAAAATGCAGGCTCTGATCATCACCTTTCTAAGTGTTGGTCTTTTGAGCCAAACAATGACTCAGTTGTAAATGATGAGGTGTGCCCAGGCAGGTTATATGTTATTTCACCTACATCAACAAGCACCATTACAGCAGCTGCTATGACAAAGATGTTGTCTACACAACAAAGCTACTTTTATAGTCTTTACAGACTATGTTTTCTTCGTCTAGCAACTTTGAAATCATGCAACAGCTGAGCTTGCAGAAAGAGTATTTTCTGATTTCTGTTCTGGGTAACAATCACTCTTTACTATGAAAAACTCTGCACTGTTTTGTGGCATGAAACTGGAGGGGTGATGGAGCCTGGATCACTCCTTTGTCTCCCACCAAGCAGCAATTAGCCTCTTATCCCTTACCTCTTTAAATACAATTAAACACAACACAGAATTACCAGGCAGGAATAGAAGGTTGGAGGCACACGTGCAGGGTGCTGCATTGACTTGCTAATCTACCTTTCATTCCAGCAAGCAGAGACAGTGCTTTCCAAACCACAAACTATCAGACCCCTGAAGGCTCATTCCATGTCAGTTAGTCTAGACCCATTACTTATTGATGAGAACACTGAAGTTCAGAGAAGTTTCAGAAATCTTGGACTCTTAGGCACTTAGTTCTCATATTCTTAGACGAGTGTTCTCACACAGTATATTTCAGATTCACCCCATGTCTCTAGACCATGTTGGGCCCAGTTTTTTTTATGATGGATTTTTGTAATATTTTAAAGAAGGATGTATTGTCTTAATTATTGGTACTAATTAATAACTACGGGGGATAGTAGCAATCTAATTAATAACCATATGTTTTTAAAATCCCCAGTGGCTTGGATTTCTTTTGTTGATCTTTGAGGATCGTGCCACCCGTGACAATGGTAGAATCACTGAAATTTATACTCATTTTCGAAATCCAGATGTTTTAGAGGTACACTTGACATGTATTCGACTACATAAAGTGAAATCTCTAAATCCCTGATGATAACCAGACTAATAGTGCCTGACTCGTGTGGTCAACACATGTTGACTGAGCTTGTAACATTCCACTACAGCTCACCTGTACTTATGAAGATTTATAATCACATTGCAAGAAGTTGAATGCCCTGATCCTCCAACCATGTTGACAACACCTTCTGCATAACTTACTTTCCCACAGTGATTCATCCAGAGAGAGATGATTTCATGCTAACATTCATTTTCTCCAAGAGCATAGGTGGGAAGAGAGAAAGCAGATTTTGTCTTATGGTAGAAAGCCCCCTGGCTTGGCACCTGTCAGGGAGCGCATAATTTTCTTTTTTTATTCAAAGAACTATTGGTGCCCTTCTTCCCTTTTAATTCCCTAAATAATGATCTACAAACTATTACCTAGAAATCCCAGCTTAGATTATATGCTAACAGTTAACAATATGCTAGACAGTTGCCTCCTGCTGTACGGAATGTGATCACACACTTGGATGCTTGGTCTCTTATTGATGGATTCCCTTAGAGAAGGGAAGCAGGATTTCAGGCTTGAGGAGCAGAACTTAAGCCTGCTGGCACTGGAAAGAAAATTAGCTACCTGGGAATGTCCTTAGTGCATTCTGTTTAAAAATGCATCTTTTAAGAGGAGTTGATTCTTAAGTACAAAATTAAGACAGTGATCTGTTTTGCATGGGACTAGCCTTACTTGCATGACAAGTCCACACACTGGAAAGTTTGGACACATAAACCATGAACCCCAACATCTCTTTATTAGCATTGAGAAGAGTTAAGTGTTCTCAGTTATGTGAAGCAGAGAATTGAGGTAATTATTCAATCATTCAAACCCCAAAGGAGAGGGGGAAACAAAAAACTTTGGCTTAAATTATCCAGAAAGCTCCCCAATTTTCTATTAAAACTAGAAGCCCAAGTCTGACAAAAGTCTTTCCTCTAAAAATGTCTTGCGGGTAAAGCTAATGGAGCTGCCATCAGAATATCTTGAGTTTTACATGCTCAATTAGTAGTTTCCAGGTCACTGACCACGTTACTTTCCAGGAAACGAGTTCAGAAATCCCTTTGAACACTCAGCGCCAATAGAAAGTGAGTCTGAGTCTCTTTTCTATTCCCAGTCGTGCTTTCTCCCTCAGAACAGTAAGATGGTTTGGAAGAGAGGCAGGCACTGTCTCTGTTAAGACAGACATCGGGATGTTGAGACAGCACCCAAGTGGAAGGCAGAGGACATTAATCGCCAGTTCAAAAATTCTTCCAGATGTTACCATCTCACCTTCCAATGGAGGGCTGTTTTCTTGAGATTCTACACACATGAGGTGTGTGGACAGTAGTTAGAAAAAGAAAGTATAAAAATAAATATACTGGAAGAAAAGCAAATGAGGAAATAAGTTGCCACAGCTGGGTGAAGCGAGAAAGCAGAAAAGCCTTCCAAGTCCAAGGCAGGTCTGCTTCCTACTCCAGTGTCTCTATGAGATGAAAAGTACCCCCATCTCAGGCCTATGTCCTCAGGAATAAGGGATACTTCAGGTGAAGAAAAGTGCACCCTCTTCTACCTCCCTAAGCCTGGCTCCAGCTTCAAGCCTGCAGCTTTGAAATGCAGGGCTTTGAAATGCAGGGCTTGGAATTGCTAGGCGTGCCTGGGCAGAACACACCCTGAATTGCAGACTGCTGATGATGCCACCCACCGGCCTGTTTATGCCAGTGTTTACCCAGGCTTCCACCCAGCCACATAAATTATAAATGCACCCTTGAACCTGCTGAGGAATTCAAGTAGACACATGGCCTAAAAGGGAGAATATTAAATTATTTCCATGAATCGATTAATACAGGATTTAAACTTACTCTGGCTCACCAGGACATTAAGATGAGTATAGGAAAGGTAACTCTTTCTGCAAAAACTTTTTGTTTAAGTGGCCTTAAAGTTAGGCCTTTTTAGCCTAATATCACACTAGGAAATTTTTTCAGCAGCCACATTTAAGTATCTAACGCCATAATAGAGACATCATAGTACTTGTGTAAACCATCGTTGCAATGCTTAAAAAAGACACGTTTAGATCAGGGGTCAGTCGACTTTTTGAAAAGTGCCATAAGTAAATATCTGAGGCCTTGCCAGTCATACAGTCTCTGTCACAAGTATAGGACTCTGCAGTTGTAGAAGAAAATACATAATAAATGAGCATGGCCAATAAAACTTATGAATATTGAACTTTGAATTTCACACAATTTTTACATCATGAAATATTATTCTTCTTGATTTTTTTTTAACCATTGTTACCTTGTGGGTCAAACAAAATAAGCAGCTGGCTAGATTTGGCCACCAGCCCATTGACACAGCCAGTTGAGAGATAAACATTACTGTTGTCACAGCAACAACTAAAGTGACAGCCCAAGGAGAGGAGGCAGGATTGCACTAATCATACTTTCTTTAATTTTCTGTATCTTGTGATGTTCTGACATTTTAAAAAATCTGGGTCAGGCTCAATGGCTCAGCCTGTAATCCCAGCACTTTGGGAGGCCAAGGCCAGTGGATTGCCTGAGCCCGCAGGTGCGAGACCAGTCTGGGCAACTTGGTGAGACCTCGTCTCTACAACAAACAAAAAATTAGCCAGGCATGGTAGCATGTGCCTATAGTTCTGGCTACTTGGAAGGCTGAGGTAGAAGAATCACCAGAGCCCAGCAGGTTGACACTGGGGTGGCCGTGAGCGTGCCACTGCACTCTAGCCTGGGCGAAAGAGTGAGACTCCAACTAAAAAAAAAAATCTGGCTGGCAGGGGAGAGACTGACCCTCCAAGGTGAGATAATTCTTGAGACAGCAAAGGGCTGGGCCCAGAAATATGACCAGCTCATGTCTAGAACATACATCAATCTTCCTCTTTATCTAACTCACACACCAAGCCAATACAGAAACTGTCCTACAGCATCTCAGGCTCAGGTGCCAGGCAAGTGGGGACCACCCCACAGTCCAGAGGCTGCTGGTACCAGGCAAGTAGGGACCACCCACAGCCCAGAGCCTGCTGGTACCAAGGAGTAGAAACCACCCCATGACCCAGAAGCTTCTGGTAGCAGGCAGGTAGAGACCACCCCCCAGCCCAGAGCCTGCTGGAACTATGCAGACCTGCCAGTATGGTCGACCGTGCCTGGCCTCCCTTTCCTGACTCAGGCTTTTTGTCTCACTCCTGCTTCTGCCTCCTGACTGCCGGTGGTGCTTCCCCATGGCCATTCTGGTGTGGTGTGTCCCTTCTCTCAGAAAATGTAATACAACTCAGAGGCATTGGCCTGTGTTGCACTCATTACCCTCATACATCGAAATCTCACAGGTACAATGTGGTGTGCCCTGCTGCACCAAGCAGGGTCAAGGCCAGCCGCAGCGGCATCACCTGGGCCCCACCCCAAACCTACAGAATTCACATCTGCATAGAATCAAGATCCCAGGTCACCTGCCAAGGTATTGGCTTAAAGGGATTTGGGGCCTAGCTCAAATCTCTGTGCCTCCATTTAGCTACGTGGCCATGGACAAATGATTGTCACTATTTACCTGTTTCTATGCCTAATAAGTGACAAGATCTTTGCCAAACAATCAGAGAGTACCTGGCAAGTACTCTTCACTAAATGCTTCCCATTATTCAATTTTAGAGAATATGTCTCCATGCACATCCGGCTACGGCCACTTCCTCAAAGACATATTTGTAGCCAGGCACTGGAACTGACCTCCTGTGACTACAGCCCGCCGCCTCCTCCC